CGTCCGGTAACGGACGAACGGGCAGCTGCTGGCAAGATTTTAACGCGCGGACCTGGGTGGTCCCCGACGAACGCGTACTCGCAGAGAGTTATCTCTGCTCGCGGCGCCACGTATTCGTAACCTTAGCCACGCTGCCCAGAAAATAACGTAATACCGCGTGCTATTGCGTACGCGCGGCTCGCGGACGCGATCTCGGTCTCGGCGGGGACGGTTCTTCCCTCGTTTCCATCGAAAGGCCGCGGACGTCGCGACGCGCTTTTCCAATTTATTTCCACGCGTCCGATTGCTCGTTCTCGCGATTCTTGCCGCGCGTCGGTTTGTCGCGGAAACCGCGCGTATCCGTGAAACTCGAACGATCGGAACGACGCCTCGTCGAGTCCGCTCGCGCGTCGCCGGTGAAAAAAGAACCCGGAGAAATATAAACTGGCCGGGTCCGCGCTGCGCGCGCACCGATCGTAAATATCTTTTCGATTTATTTCGCCGAAGTCGGCCGCGACCTTCGCTACATTCTGTATATTAGAGCCTTCGAGTGAAAACCATATACGTACGTAGCCGTACAGGTTGATCGATTCGAACAACGTTTCGTAGCGTGCTCCGACCGCGGCGCGTTCCCGTATTCCCTGGCCGCGTGCTACGCGCGCGGCGCGTATACGGCGCGTATACGGCGCGGTACACGGAACAACGTCCAGCTATTTGTACACTCGTCATTTTTACGAGGAGATAAATCACCGCGCGCTTTCGATTCGTCGTAACATCGATTTGCCACTCTGTCGTTATTCGTCCATCTGGCCGGACGGTGTCGAATCGCGGTCCCGCGGGACGCGGCCAGGGGGGTCGCGCATACATTAGCCGCGGCCGCGAGACCTTTGATGCGGCACCGGGGCGCATCTAGAAAGCGAGTCGCGTCGCGCCGTAAAAGTAAAGGTAAACGTAAACGTAAAAGCAAATACGAATACGAATTTTATGCATTACCGTCAACTTCTATCTGCCCGAAAACGCTTTTACCAAAAGCCGAAAGCCGAAAGGTCGATCGCATCTCGCATCTCGAATCTTCCGCTCCACCCTTCGAGTTTTAAAAATGCATGCACCGTGCATCGAATTACGCGCGAAAGAGAAAGGGCATTCTGTCGCGTCGCGTCCGTCGTGGAAAGGCAGAGGGTACGCGCAATATTTCACGGCAACGAGAACGGTCCCGGAGGGTAGCGACGGCGTTATTGTCGGGAGCAGATGCGTCGATCCGGCGATGCTTCCGTGATTTATTAAATCGTGCACGATACCGGACGGACGGTCCGCGCACCGTTTATAATACGTTGCAGCGCGTACGTGTGCCGTATACCGTATGGCGCATGGCGTATAATACAGCACTCGTCGATTCGGCGCGACTTCGTTGGAAGCGCTAGGACTAGCAGCGACCTACTTGGATCCTAGGTGGTTACGAGTGGATGCGGCGGCGCGTCCTTGAAGAAGACTCGGGCCTTGGGCGCAACGCGCGAGAAGCGAGGAGCGTGTGGAGCGTGTGGAGCGTGTGGAGCGTGTGGAGCGTGCGGAGCGAGGAGCGTGACGAGGCGGTATTAAAAACTGGGGGATGGCGTTCGTGCGCAGCCAGCAATTAAAGCCGTAATTATCGTGTTCGATTTTTCCATGGAACAAATAAGAAAGAAATTGCCGGGCGTTATCTGGCCGCGACGATCCATCCTCGCCGAACCGTTCGCCTTTCCCGTGCGGCGCGGCCGCGACCGCGGCGCTCCTCGCCCGCGGAAGACGAACCGTGCGGCCTACTTTTTCACCGTACCGTCGAACAACACCGGAAGCGATCCGAAACCCACCCACGACGCGCGAGCGAGCGCGGGAAGCTCCCGAGATCTCGATCGTACCGTCGTTACCCGGCGATCGATCGCGAGTCGATCGTGCCGAGACGGATCCCGATTCCCGAGGCGAGAACGTCGAGCTTCCATTGGACGCGCTCGTTCGTCCAAGCTAGTTTCTCCAACGCTGGTTCGCAGCGTTTACGAGCCGCGAACCTTTCGGCTAGTTCGGCGCTTCTTCCTTCGACGAGGAAATTCGTCGTCTCGCGGATACGTTCGGAAGAACGCGTAAAGCACGACCGATGCGTTGCGCCGATCCGAAAGAGCAGAGATAAACTGGGAAGAGATAGGCGAAGAATTCGACCGGAACCTCTTCCCGGAGAAAAGCTCCGGGTAATACGGGTTATCTCGTCCGCGATAAGTCGAGGTATCCTTCGAGGGGTAGGCGCGTTACCGACCCAACGAATGCATTTAAATCGGTCCATTGCGAACGAAACTCTTGCGGAGACTTTCGTGGAACCGTGGAGAGGGAGCAAAGTCGATTTATCGACGGCGAGCAAGTTACACCGATAATATCGTCGAAGCCGGCGAAGAAAAACGCGAGGAGAGATCGTATCGCGAAGCGCGTTCCTCTCCGCGAAATCGAATCCTCTCTTCGATGCTTTTCGACGCGACGAGTTCGTTCGCGCACGAAACGGGAGATTTTTTTTACAACGAACGACACCGACGACGATAGCGAAAACCATCGGGAGAAGAGGAAATACGCTCGACGGGAGACAAGGATCGCCGATCGGTAGCACGTTCGATACGCGCCGATCGAGCGGAAGAAACTTGCTCTTGCTTCTGCGACGAAAATAAGGCGTTCGTCGAACGCTTTCACTCACCGCTCACCGCTCGCCGCTCGCCGCTCGTCGCGTGCCGGGAACGCGCGAGCCGATCGAAATTGGTTCGAACTGGAAAGATCGACCGACTCTTCTGGGATCGATCCGTCCGCGGATCCGAACGGCCGGTCTCGAGGACGGGCGCGCGGTTCGAACGGAGTCGGGGCAACCGACGGCAAGTTAATGAGATCCGTCGCGACGCGAAGCGACTCGCGCGCGTCGGTGACTCACGCCGCAGGAAGTCTATCCTGAGCGGGCCGAGACCGGATGTCTTCCGTTCTTTAAATCGGCACGAGGTGAAACGGAGTCAGTGACATCGACCGCGCCGTGCGAATACGCGGCGGAACGCGAAGCCGTCGAGACTCGCGTTTTCGAGACTTCGACGCGTTCGAGGTTTCTCGAAAACCGCGTACCGTCTGGTTTCTTCTGGAAATGTCGGTCGCGGCCCGCGGGGATCGCTCGGTCGCGCCGACGCCCCGATTCCGTCGGCGCGGGCCAAACCTCGACGCTACGGCGGAGGAGACGCGGTCTTGGGACGAGGCCAAAGGCGCGAGATTGCCTCGTAGATTCCTTCCAGGCCCTCGATTCGATGCGACCGTAATTGCCGCGGCTTTCGTGCCAAATTAACGACCGGCTTCGCCGCACCGAGCCCCACCGAGCCCCACCGAGCCACGGCTATAGGCCTTTCGGAATCGTGACCGTCTATGGAAATGGCATTGCGCGTAAGTACGCATTGGCACGGTGCGGAGCGGTGCGGTGCGGTGCGGAGCGGAGGCGCGTTGGCACGGCGGCACGGCCGGAAGCGGCGCAACGTTCAACGATCGAAGCTATCGGCAACGTCCTAATTCCGATGTCCTCGAAGAATCGATACGTCGACGGCGTCGACGCGACTATCGCCCGTTTAACGGAGCCTAACGTCATTTTCGAACTAAACCGATCGAAGCTGGAACTCGGCCGCGTCGTTCCAGGCTCGTCGATCGTCGGGTTCGTCGATAGAAGTCGTCGAAGCAGCTGTCGGCTCTTTTCCACGCCGAATCCTTCCCACGAGCGAGTTTTCCCGCGACAACGCTTATCCGCGATTACGTAGCGGAAAGATAACGCGGCGAGTTCACCGGGCGTACCGTTATACCCGCGCTGCTCGCAAAAATAGCGCGCGCGGGCTCCGGTCGAACCTGGCTGGAATAATACGCGTTCGATCGACGTTTCGCGTCGCTACGTTTCCTCGTTGGCGCTGCCATCGAAACAATTTCGGACCGGGTAATTCGCGTTTCGCGAAAACGAGTTACGTCAAGGTTGTTCGTTATTCGTTCGACGGCCAGCGATCGTCGTCGTTGCGCGTATACGTACAGACACTGACGAGTATAACAACGCGTATATCCCGCGTAACAGCGCGGGGTATTGTCCGTAATAGCGCGGCGCACCGTCTCGTTGTTGCGCGGGTTTGTACGAATCGCGCACCCAACCGGTTAAGAGGCCTTTTAAAGCGAATTAGCACCGCTGCGAAACGGCCGGCACGCGAAGCCCGTGCTCGGGGCAGTTTCGCGTCTCCGCGCCGATCGTTAAACCATCGATTCGAACGCGATCTCGTCGATTGGTATAACTGTAATCGGGATCCCGTGCGATTACAATCCGGCGAGTTCGTTTCCACGGAGAAAATCGCGCGGCTCTTTAAAGAAGTCCGGCCGTCGTAAAGCGGAACCGGTGTACGATCTCGAAAGAAACTTTTTATTTCCAGGCGCGTCAAGCTGCAACCGTGGCGAGCGGCGAAGGGCGAGTGGCCAGAGGCCGGTGGGGGGAGAACGCCCTCCGAATCGCGCCTTCTTTCCCGATCTTTATTCCATCGGCTATCGCGCACGACCGCCTAATTGGTTTAGGCTCTCGCCCTCTCGGTCATCGACGGCCTAGGGGAACCTCGTTCGCGAAAATCAACGCGGTCGAAGGGCGCGGAGACGTGACCGAGAAAACTGGAACGCGTCGTTGCCCGGCAAGAATTATCTGCGGGGACGGGGAAGGGGACGGGGACGTCGTCCCCTCGCGGGAAAACTTTTCTCTCCGGATCGAAGAGGAGTTCTGCGCGTTTCCACGAATCCGTTCGCCTTCGTACGGCAGTGACGCGACGCTTCGCGGTCCGATAATAGTCCAACGGATTAGGAAGGTCGAAACGGGCAGACCCGTGTCGGACCGAGCGTAACGCTCGAAGCCGGCGAGCCGTGTCGAACGCGAGCGATAAAAACCGAACGCGAGCGGGGCAAAAAAGCAGCCGAAATGGGTTAGCCAAGAAATATTACGACGCGTTTCGTTTCACGTTTTCCAGAACCAGTGATGCCACCGCCGTCGAGCCGTCGGAATCGTTAGCAGCGGGCCGAAAAAAATGGCCTCGATCTTGGGAGACGGAACGGGCCCCGGGGGATCGGGGCCCTCCCGATGCCTCTTGCTCTTACAAAGGTCCCTGGCGATTCAGCTGACCAGGGGCCCGCCTCCTCAGGTTCTGAACGCTGGACAACGCGAGAGCCCCAAGGAGCATCCGGCCGACGAGATGTGGATGTACGATAAAGGTTACAATTTGTTTCAGGTGAGTCCACCGTCTTTCTCTTTCTCTCTCTCTCTCTTTCTCTCTCTCTCTCTTTCTTCCTCTGCGGCTCTATGCGCCAAATCGCAAGGACGTCCGCGCGTGCGCGTACCAACTTCTGGGTGTACGTATCGCGAATTCGCGCACGCTTTCGCACGCGACGGGACAGCTCGCGCGATCGTATCCGATCGCGAATGAAAACGACCAAGGTAATCGCGGATGAGTCGATCGCGTTGTCTCGGGAAAGCATTTTTCGGTCGTTACGCGAGGACGAGAGCGCGACGGTATCGAACGGGATTCGCGAAAACGTTGACGCGAACGGCGAAGCGGAAACGCGTATCTTCGTCCACCGAATCGCGTCGCGGTCGTTGTCCGTTTTTCCAACTCAGCGTTTTCGAAGCGAGATTGGCGTTGATTGGATGCACCGTTACGCCGGAATCGGACGATACGAATCGCGTGCGATTTCGCGAGGCAACCTTGTCCAGGGACAGGACCGAGCAACGAGCGCCAACTCTTGTTCGCGACGCGAGCCTTCTCCCGTTTTAATTTCGCGAAAGACGTCGGTCGACGGCTTCGTTGGCACGCGGTACTGGAAAAGTGCCCACCGTTTGCCGAAAACTAAGCGATTCGATTTTGATGGCTTTTAAAAGCGCCGAAAGTGGCCGTTCGTTCGCGAAGGATTTCGCCCGAAGATCTCGAGGTTTTTCGAAACGATCGATGTCGGTACGACGAGGCTCGCGACACCGAGGCTAATGAAATTGGAACGCGGCTTTCGATGGGAGAGCGCCCTTCGGTTTCCACGAGCCCTCGTTAGGGTGGAGCGTATCTCTGGACTTTGCCGGGGGGGGGGGGNTGTTCGTTATTCGTTCGACGGCCAGCGATCGTCGTCGTTGCGCGTATACGTACAGACACTGACGAGTATAACAACGCGTATATCCCGCGTAACAGCGCGGGGTATTGTCCGTAATAGCGCGGCGCACCGTCTCGTTGTTGCGCGGGTTTGTACGAATCGCGCACCCAACCGGTTAAGAGGCCTTTTAAAGCGAATTAGCACCGCTGCGAAACGGCCGGCACGCGAAGCCCGTGCTCGGGGCAGTTTCGCGTCTCCGCGCCGATCGTTAAACCATCGATTCGAACGCGATCTCGTCGATTGGTATAACTGTAATCGGGATCCCGTGCGATTACAATCCGGCGAGTTCGTTTCCACGGAGAAAATCGCGCGGCTCTTTAAAGAAGTCCGGCCGTCGTAAAGCGGAACCGGTGTACGATCTCGAAAGAAACTTTTTATTTCCAGGCGCGTCAAGCTGCAACCGTGGCGAGCGGCGAAGGGCGAGTGGCCAGAGGCCGGTGGGGGGAGAACGCCCTCCGAATCGCGCCTTCTTTCCCGATCTTTATTCCATCGGCTATCGCGCACGACCGCCTAATTGGTTTAGGCTCTCGCCCTCTCGGTCATCGACGGCCTAGGGGAACCTCGTTCGCGAAAATCAACGCGGTCGAAGGGCGCGGAGACGTGACCGAGAAAACTGGAACGCGTCGTTGCCCGGCAAGAATTATCTGCGGGGACGGGGAAGGGGACGGGGACGTCGTCCCCTCGCGGGAAAACTTTTCTCTCCGGATCGAAGAGGAGTTCTGCGCGTTTCCACGAATCCGTTCGCCTTCGTACGGCAGTGACGCGACGCTTCGCGGTCCGATAATAGTCCAACGGATTAGGAAGGTCGAAACGGGCAGACCCGTGTCGGACCGAGCGTAACGCTCGAAGCCGGCGAGCCGTGTCGAACGCGAGCGATAAAAACCGAACGCGAGCGGGGCAAAAAAGCAGCCGAAATGGGTTAGCCAAGAAATATTACGACGCGTTTCGTTTCACGTTTTCCAGAACCAGTGATGCCACCGCCGTCGAGCCGTCGGAATCGTTAGCAGCGGGCCGAAAAAAATGGCCTCGATCTTGGGAGACGGAACGGGCCCCGGGGGATCGGGGCCCTCCCGATGCCTCTTGCTCTTACAAAGGTCCCTGGCGATTCAGCTGACCAGGGGCCCGCCTCCTCAGGTTCTGAACGCTGGACAACGCGAGAGCCCCAAGGAGCATCCGGCCGACGAGATGTGGATGTACGATAAAGGTTACAATTTGTTTCAGGTGAGTCCACCGTCTTTCTCTTTCTCTCTCTCTCTCTTTCTCTCTCTCTCTCTTTCTTCCTCTGCGGCTCTATGCGCCAAATCGCAAGGACGTCCGCGCGTGCGCGTACCAACTTCTGGGTGTACGTATCGCGAATTCGCGCACGCTTTCGCACGCGACGGGACAGCTCGCGCGATCGTATCCGATCGCGAATGAAAACGACCAAGGTAATCGCGGATGAGTCGATCGCGTTGTCTCGGGAAAGCATTTTTCGGTCGTTACGCGAGGACGAGAGCGCGACGGTATCGAACGGGATTCGCGAAAACGTTGACGCGAACGGCGAAGCGGAAACGCGTATCTTCGTCCACCGAATCGCGTCGCGGTCGTTGTCCGTTTTTCCAACTCAGCGTTTTCGAAGCGAGATTGGCGTTGATTGGATGCACCGTTACGCCGGAATCGGACGATACGAATCGCGTGCGATTTCGCGAGGCAACCTTGTCCAGGGACAGGACCGAGCAACGAGCGCCAACTCTTGTTCGCGACGCGAGCCTTCTCCCGTTTTAATTTCGCGAAAGACGTCGGTCGACGGCTTCGTTGGCACGCGGTACTGGAAAAGTGCCCACCGTTTGCCGAAAACTAAGCGATTCGATTTTGATGGCTTTTAAAAGCGCCGAAAGTGGCCGTTCGTTCGCGAAGGATTTCGCCCGAAGATCTCGAGGTTTTTCGAAACGATCGATGTCGGTACGACGAGGCTCGCGACACCGAGGCTAATGAAATTGGAACGCGGCTTTCGATGGGAGAGCGCCCTTCGGTTTCCACGAGCCCTCGTTAGGGTGGAGCGTATCTCTGGACTTTGCCGGGGGGGGGGGGGGGNCGGGGGGGGGGGGGGGGGGGGTGAAATTTAACCGGGATTTGCGCCACGGAGTTTGAGAAAGGGGGACGACACGGCGGTAGCCTGCGTAGAAAAGGGTCGCGTATCCTGAATCGAATTATACGTATACGGCTGCGTTGGAAAGGCGGCCGCGTTAAATGCTAGCCTTTGTCGAGTATATCGCATACAAGTGTAACACGATTCTTCCGTAATTTCCGAGGCCGACTCGCGTTCCGTACGCGACTCGGTCGTCGCGATCGTTCCGGTCGAAATTCCGAAGGTCGGGCGAAGCGACCCTGATTTCGATAATATTTACTCGGCCAAGGATGAAACGTCGTTGAATTTCCTAAACCGCGAAACGCGAAACAGGATCCACCGTAGCCTCGCGAATCGCCGACGATACATTTGTAAGGTGGACACGTGTCGGGATCGAGACTCGGTGCGGCTAGACCTTTGTCGGAGCCGACGCGACGGGACGCGAGGTTCTTTCCGTCGCGGTTCAACGGCTGATTCGATATGCGACGCGCGACGCGGAATGCGATCCGCGGCGCATCTCGCATGCGCGATGGGCCGTACCGTGCTCTTACGTAATTGCCGCGTGGGTACACGGTTGGGCGGCGCGTTAGAGGGCCGAGGCCGGTCCGAGGGAACGACGATTACTCGAACGGAAAACGTTGCTTTCGCGTTCGCGTTCGCGTTCGCGTAGGATCCAACGGAACTGGCACACCTATCGCCGCGAGAGCGACGTAACCCGCGAACGAGGACGGTCTCGGCGCGCGATACCCGCGAAACTAGCTCGACGAAAGCGCGTTTTATCGGCAAAGGATTTAATCGAAATATGCCAGGCGTTTCAAAAACGTTGGCTCGTCGACCTTTTTGCGGGTTTCTATTTCTTTTCTACGAAGAAGGATACGCGAGAACATTTTCACGCTGTTTAACGCGATTTTTATCGCTTTCGACCACTTTCCCCGTCTATTTATTAGAAACGGTAATTGCGCTCGGCGCGCGAATTATTCGTTTTCGTTTAGTTCTTCGCGCCGGACGCTGCCGCGTCGGTTTCCATCGGCCGCGGCGTATTCGGTCGGCGACACGATTTCCGGCGGTGTTTCTATCGGTTTCGTTCGCGCGCGAACCGGGAAACGCGATCGGAAGCGAACGATGCGCCGCGACGCCGCGTCGCGTCCCAAAGATATCCGCGATTCATAGATTCGCGCGATTTTTAGCGCGTCCCGTAGAAAGTATTCGATCGAATCGAGCGAAATGCTCGGTGGAAAAATCGCTGGATCGGTGCGAAATATATTTGCGTCACTGGAAAGCGTCCAGAGTCCAAACGTTGCCATCGTTCTCGTCGCCGTTAGCCGCGACAAGAGTCCAACCGTCCAAAACAAAAACAACGTCGCGGACAATGTCCCTTGATCCGAGAGAGACGCGGAAATATTTTTTTAGAGCGACGTCGATCGATTTCCGCGTCGATTCGCTCCACATTTGTATATTTGCGATGGATGTTCGCGGAAGGCCGACCGGTGCACGGGGTAACGCGATTCCGCGACGCATCCGGCGACCGGGCGCTCGTAGCGCCGAGATCGTGTTTCACGTTCGAGCGGAAAATGTATCGCGAACGCGCGCGCTCCTGGCATAATATCCGCGATAAGACGATCCGAGGTTTCGCTCCCCGGGCAGAACGGAGCTCGCCCGTTGTTTATGCGCTGAAATCCGACGTGTTCGTAATCGGACGAGCGAACGGCGATGCTCGGAGCGCGACGTAAGAGGCGCGCGTTGCATCTTTACGGAGCCGTTCGAAACGATTTGTCGGTACGAGACGCGTTCCGCGCCTCGATTTGGAACGCCGATCGAATTCTTTCGATCGAAAGGTCAACGTTTCGATAATATCGTTCGAGCGTTTGCGCGGACAAGGGGAAAACGGTCGAACGCATCGTACGGTATCGAGTAGATCGTGTATCCTCCGGATAGAAATCAAGGAACTGCCTCGTTGCCGCTATTCATCCAATTTTCCTGATATTTCTAATCGCGCGTGCCGCGAACGATCGAGAGCGGTCCGTAGGCCGCGAGCGCGCGCGGGCCTCTTGCCTCTTACCTCTCGCCTCTTGCCTACAACCCGCGATCTACGATCTACGACAAAGCGTTGCAACCGCTTCGAACGAATGTTTCTATAGGCGATAAAAAGCTTCGTTTGTCCGAGAACGGAAGGCGGTTGGAGCTATCTCGGAGAAGAATGTATCCCTCCGAAACCGAATCGATCTTTCTAGAAGCCCCAACGTTGGTTGGACTTTATTATTGCGCGCAATAAATCGAATGGCACGGGAAACATGGTCGGCCCCGCGTTTTAGCGTTTTCAATGCCTCCGAACCGGTTCGCCGGCAATCGTCGCGTTTCAGCGGAACCACCTATCGCAAACCGCGAGCGTGTCGTCGCGTTCGCGTTCGCGTGTCGCGCTTTCACTCGACGGGACGGGTTTAATTTCTGCTTCGGCCGTACCGGAACGTTTCGCAGATATTACTAATTATAATACGCCCTCCTTTTTAATTCCGCCGCCGGGCGAATTCGCGTCGGTCGGTTCGTTTCGACGCGAAACCGAGCCGATCGGTCGGTAAACTCGACTAATCGTCGAGGAGAAACGTCCAATTAATTGGACGGCTATCCGAACGCGTCGACGATATTCCGAGAAGAGAGACGACCGTCGTTCGATCGCGGAGAACTCGCGGACGAGTTTCGAAGCTGGGCGCCGCGCGTTCCAACGGTGTAACCCGACGTCGACGTCGTATCGCGAGTCGATCGCGGCGCGCAACAATTAACCGAGCCGATAAATAAAGCGGCCTCGAGTATCGCGAAACGATAACGCGGCGCCGGGCCGGGCCGCGCCGGCTGTTGGTACAGGAGCTACGGCGGTCTCTACCGCGAGTCTAATTAGTTCGACGTTTATAGCGCGTCGATTCGACCCGCCGACCGCTGCGCGCGTATTGTCCTTCGCGATCGGATCGACCGACACGCCGGTTGCGGACAAACGGATAAGAGTAAACGATACGGGCCGATCGAGCGAGCGCGATAGATATCTCGTTTCGTTTTCGTTTCGACGATGGAGCAGCTGGATCTCCGCGTTCGAATAAATAGCCGAGATGCGAACACGCGCTACCGCGTAAACGGTTGCGCGGCGATGCTGCCGTAAAAAGGCTGGCCCGCCGCGTCGCGCGATTCCTAATTGGGAGGAAATTCGCTTCCCGGATAGGAGCTCGCGCGGTCGCGAACAATGTTCGCCTTCGACGCCGGCCGCGATCCGCTCCTCGAGCCTTAAACGAACCGTTGCATATTGCGATACGTTGCTCGCGTTACCTCGAGGATGACCGATGCGGCGATCGCGCGCGACGCGGACACTTTCCATCCGCGTGGCGATTTCTGGCGCGAGCACCGGCGCGGTGCGCCGCGTCGCGAAAACCTCGCGCCTCGGACCCGGCCTTCTCCGGCCATAACCGCAACGCGACCAAGGATACCGGTTCGTCGCGTTCGCTTCCATGGCAGGGAGCTCCCGAGCCGACGTTTCGTCGGCGACATTTTCCGTCGAACGGCTCGAGGAAATTGTTCCGGCAAACTTGGAATCGGCGCGAACATCCGTGACCCGATTTATCGAAATTGGCGGCAAAACGACGACGTTGCGAAGAAACTCGAACCGGTTTCGCGGAGTGGAAGCATCGCATGATTCCCAGCATTCTCGAACTTTCGGACATTACCATCCGGTTAACAAGCGTAAAAAGGAAGACGATTCGTCGGAGACGCTCTCGTCGTTGCACGATGGAGATATTCGACCCAGAAACGTTCGAGCGGCAGAATTTATGGATCGATGGTCCTGCGGCAACCGCCGCACCCGTCGCGCCCATCGCGCCCATCGCAGCCACGCGCGGCCGCGACGCGTCTCCGAAAGGTTCGAATCGAAGCCGTTTCGACTTCGAAACGGTCGAACGCTCGCAGCCACCGGGTTCCTCGTTCGGTCGTTCGGCTCGTCCGCGTTCGTCTTTCGGGCAACGCGCGCGTCCGACGCGCGTCCGCTTTCCGATTCAACGATCGAGCTAACAAGCCCGAACACTTTCTACCGTGTACGGTCGTCGCCGATCGCGTCGCTTTCTTGTCGATGGACCGACCGAGCGAGCGAGGTTTCCGTCGTTAGGGAGAACCTGCTCGCCGGACTCGCGTTCTTCGCGGTCGAATCGATTATTCACGATTTCCTATTATCGTATCCGTAACCGCGGATACGCTTTTGCGTCGGTCCGCCGACGCGCGACTCGTTCGGGTCGAATCTCGAGGAAAGTTTTGTCGAACGACGCGATAATTCGCGACGGCGAAAGTCGAACGGCGATCGACGCGCGACGGCAAGGACGACGCGCGTTCGTTCTTTCGTTCGTTCGATTCGTCGCCGTCGCCGTCGCCCAACGATTCTACGATCTCGCGCGAGCGGGACTCTAAAAGGATAAGCATGCTCGCGAGAGCACGGCTAGCGTATTGCATAATAATTAGTGGGCAGCCAACGACCGTATATACCCTGCGCAACGAATTGCCGCAAGTTCATTGCCGGCAAGGATATACATAGCGATACGAACGTAACGTGCCCCGAGTACAGCGAGCCGATTAGCAACGCGGTTCCAATCGCGCTCTCTCCCTGCTCGTAGTGCCCGAGCCCGAGCGCGCGCGCGCCCGCCTTTCGACCGTTCGATCGTTCAACCGTTCGAGAGTGTAATCGAAAAGATGTAGCGACTGCGACTGCGACTGCGACTGCGACTGCGACGTATCGACCATTCGATGCGGACGCTTTTCTCTAATTTCACGGCTTACCGTGAACCACACGGGGTATCGGAACCGGAGGAAGCGGAAACGGAAACGGAAACGGTCGGAAGAAAGGGAGGGAACGGGGCCGATAATCGGTGAAAATCCTGCGGTGCCGTTCGTTTACGAGCACCGTACCCGCGACGCCGCTCCTCGCTCGTCCACGCGGGAGATCGGAAGATGGGGCGAACGAGGGACAACGAGGGTGGCACAGTTTCTACGCGAGTTACGAGACTGGGTAAAACCTAAATGGGGCCCCCCGGCAGTAAACACTTACCGGTTCGGCCGTATTTCAGGGGAGGATTCTTCTCGCCAAGATTCTATCTCCTCGACGACCCTTATCGTCGTCCCGATAATGGAGAATGCGTCATCGTTACGACGCCCCGTGGACGACAGTTTGCGGAACTCTTCCATGGCCGGCCATATGTCGCGCGTACCGTGGAAGAAAGATTGGAATCGCTCTCGGGCCTCCTCGAGCCGTCGTACGCGCACGCTTCTCCGAGCGCGCTGCTTCTTCGCCGATTTCGATAACCTCGAATCGCATCGTCGACGTTTATTTCGCAGAAATCGATCGTCGGCGTAAAATATACCCGTTCTCGATTTTTCGATCGAGGCCTTCGTTCGAGCGAAGCTAAGACGAACATAACCTGGCGCAAATGATTTCAGAGCTTCTTGGAGGCAAACTCGAAATGCTGGTGGAACGCGGCTCTGGTGGACGCAACCCGGCAACTCAGGTACAAGGGTCACGTGTCACCCGGCGTCCTGTTGGTCGGAGGACCACCCTGTGCCCTCGAGGTCTTGAGGGCAGCCTGGGCTCGGAACGTCCTGCGACCGCCGGCCGATCACGCGATCACCTGTCTCGGTGAGTACCACGGCACAGTCGACGAAATTCCAGTAATACACACCTGCGAAGACACGAGGCTGTCGCATCGAAACGTCGGACTCGCGATTGGTCGGAGCAGCGGTCGTTCGCGTGGGTTCTCGAACGAACGACGCGAGCTCGTATCGCGCGAAACTCTGTCGCGGGCCGAGATCGCCGGGGCGATGAAGTACGTTTTGGCGGCAACCCGCTGGTTCGGGATAAACGCGGGTACTCGGTACGAAACGCGGCAGCGACGAGCGAAGGAAATGGTGAAAATCGAACGAACAAGCGATACAGAGTCGAGCGACGCGCGATACGCGTTCGACCGTTTCTCGTCGCGTCGAAGAAACTAACGCGCGCTCTTCGAGCAGCTTTCTCGCCGGTATTCTCTGTACGATCCTCGCGCGTTCCTCGGACGGATGTCGCGTATCGGAGAAAAGATCGTAGCGTTCGCGAGAAGCAGCGTTTATTTGTAGCTTCGGAGGACGGGTGCTCGGCGACGCGACGCGTTCCGATACGCGAACGCTGGGCCGCGAATAAAACCGCTCTCGTCGTCGTTTGCTTCGGGGCTGTTCCCCGTTCGCTCGGCATACCTCGCCGCCACCTTTGCCATATTTTCCGCCGCGTCTCGTTCCCCCCCGCCTCTCTCTCTCTCTCTCTCTATATATATATATATATATGTATATACATATAGAATATACGCCCACGCGCCGTTACGCTTCGCATATCCGACCCATCGTGACTTCGGTCGTCCTCGTTCTCTCGTCTCCGAACTTCGACCGAGTCTCGTTACTCGCTCGATCGCGACAAAATACTCGAACGAATCGGATCGGCGGTCTCCGCTCGCGCGGAGCGTTCGCGCGATTCTTCGGCGTTTGCCAGCCGTGCGCGATTGAAAAATTCTCTCTTCGAGCAGAGGCTGATTTTCCATGTTTTTCGTTGTTCGTGCTTTTTCTAAAATCCAGCCGGCTCCGCGTCTCGCATCGGCGCGTACACACCTACACGCGACTATCTCGCGTATCGGGCTTATGCTAATGCGTACGCGTTCCAACGTGCTTGGACACGAGCATATAATTAACGATAGCTTGTTCTCGCGGCGTACTCGCTTCTTTCCGAAAGCGGCTTTAGAAAATTATTCGCGCATTGTCCGCGACCTCGTCGGTTCCCGCGATCCCGCGTCGAATATTCTCGCCGGTCTATAGCCCATGGAACCCCCTGGAACCGCGATCCCGTGCCCCATTCTCCGCAACGCGAATCTCGTTGCTCGGATTGGCCAGCGTAAGCCTGAAATTGATAGCGCGTCGCACGGTCCCGCTCCAAAGTTGCCGGAGCATGTAACGAGGTCTCGGCACGGTCTCGACCATCGATCGTTCGGCCGATCTCCCTTAACGCGTTTCTTCCAGTTCGGGCGCCCCCGTCCTGGATTCGGCGACCAACGCCTCGTCGTCTCGACGCCTCGATCGGTTAATTCGGCGAAAACTTCTCGAATCGAACCGAGCGGTTCGTTCGACCAAGAATTTGCTCGGATCGTTCCCGTTTCCGATTTCGAACATATTTTCGATAAACGTTGCCATCCGACCGGTCCGTCGAACCAAGATTGCTCTTCGATGGCAGCAGCCCGAGATTCGGGCCTTAAAGTTCCGAGACGGCGTTATCGGAAAAGTAATCGAGAAAAGGGGAGCCGTGCGGCGACGCGCCGCGTCGTTATCGCGGATCGTTCGAGATGGGAATGTAAACGAGCCGTGGCGTTGGGTTTCCGTTCTCGACGGGATCCGGCGATCCGGCGATCCGGCGATCCGGCGATCCGCGGCAATGGCAGCGGGAGTGTTTAAATCGCCGCGTTGCCTTATCTCGCGGGCTTATCTTTACGCGGCCGTGGTTCTCGCCTTATCGTAACCAGTTCGCTCGCGCCGCGAACGGACGAGCTTTTGCACCCGCTCGCGTTCGCCTGCCGCCGTCGCGGCGATCTGCGCGACTCGAACTTCGAAAGCCCCGGTCTTCCCGGTGGCTGCCGATCCCGCGAACACGGCCGCGCCGCGAGTCGCGCGTTTTGCTCGACGACGGAAGTAGCTCGATCTTCCGCTTCGTCTTCCCGGTCCCACGTTTAAGGTCGACGCAGACGCATCGCCTCCCCGACAATTCGCGCACTCCGCGTTCGAAATTCCAAATTCGAAATTCCAAGTTCCACATTCCACGTTCCATGTTCCATGTTCCACATTCCTGGGGCGACGGGCGACGGGCGACGGGCGACGGGCCACGGGCGACGGGATCGCAATGCCGCGTATCTCGCCGGGACAGCATTCTGTCGCTTATCCGTTTCCTCGCGCGCGATTCTTTCTCCGCTGTTGTTCCCTCGTTCCACCGTTCGCGTCCCTCGCAGTCGCATTCCGGCTTTCTCTTCCGACCGTTCGCCGCGCCTGCCCGTTCATCGGCATTCTTTTTACTCCGTTTCCACGACTTTTTTCCCGCCGACTCGCGGCCACGCTCGTATCTATGGACGCCTACGCGCGACTATCTCGCATACCAGGCTTATGCAAATGCGCGAGGGTATGTATCCAGGGATCGCCGCGGAGCGTGTTGCTGCTCGCGGAGCTCCGCGCGGCGTAGGAGCCCGGTTAACGTTGTCCCGGACCCGTGCGACCTTATTTTTACGAGGCAGTTCCACAAACTTACGACCCGTTCGCCTCTGTCGCTCCCAACGCGCTCAAGAACCTACCCCCGCGCGCCTCTCTCCGACTCGAGATCGACTCGCGTCGTTCGCCGAAAATATATGGACCTCGCCTGGAACAGCGCCAGTCGCGCGCGACCGAACGAATCATCCGAACGATCGAACGATTATCCGGACGATCGCGATCGTTCCGTGAAAAATTCGAAGCGAGATCGTCGCTTCGCTCGCGTAGCCATCGGTGAACTCGCGTCGGCGGTACGTATTTCGTCGTTCGATTCGAGATTAGCCGGCCGCGTTATAAAACGAAATCCGATCTATTTATCCGACGGTAAAACGCTTCGATCGATCGGAAACAGTTCCAGCAATATTTCTGGCCGGGTCGGAAAAGCTTCGAGCCGTTCGAATAACTCGCGCGTATCTCGATCGCTCGTGCATCCCGTAAAAATTCGCTCCGCATTGTCCCGCATTGTCGTTCGACGCGTTCGACTCGCTCGAGCGTTCAGCACGGCATAGCCGAGGCGGATTTTTGCCCGGCCAGCTCCCTCCGCGATCCGGACGCTCGAGAGTCCGCGATTCGTACTCCGGACAGCTCTATCAACCGCTTCGGCCAGCTCCCGTCCGACGGCGAGGCAAACTTCTCGCCTGGCTGGTTAAATTCGCCGGTCTCCGGCAGCCTACGCAAAGGCCGTTTAATCGTAGAAACGTTAACAATGTCGGCGACCGGTGCGGTCGATCGATACGGCACGGCGCGACGCGATATACCAGCCCGAGCCGATAAACGCGCCGATAAATATCCGCGCGCGACCGGGTCCCCGCATGCCGCGCGTCGCGCGTACCGCTTCGGTCTCGCGAACCTGTTCCGTCGGAGGCCCGCGGGCACCGAGACGATCGCGGCCCACGTTTTCAGACCGTTTCAGACGGCTTCGGAAGGTGCCGCGCGGGCCGCGATCCTCCTGTCGCTTTCTATGGAACAGCGAATGGGACGTTCCCGATCGATCTCGCCCCGGCAACGTCGTTGTTCGACCAACGAATTCACCGAACGAATCGTTTCTCGTCCAAGACTCTTCCATTTTCCAAAAAGATCCGCGAATTTTTTGTTCTCGAAAGATACGGCGCGGCGCCGAATCGATGCACGCGGGACAACCGGAGCGTTTCCGTGGCCAACGTTCGACGGACGAGCTTTAGAAACCTGTTCTCTAATATTCTATAATCGGCGCGTGAAACGCGTAATTTTATTTGGAATTTTCTGATTTTATATTTAGAACGCCCAATCTCGGCACGGAATCGTCTAAAACGTATACATTAGAAATTTGAAACGGATAGAAACGAGGCTTTCCCTGCAACGGCTCGGTAAGCGGCGTGCCGTCCAACTTGCAGTCCTCTTACCAGAAGGCACCCTCGCGTTCCCCGCTCCCCGTGGTCGCATCCTTCGCGAAAACTATCTTTGTTCTTCGAGATAGCGTAGCTATCTCGCGCCGCGCCGACACGGCGACGGATCGTTATTTTTCTGGAGCTCGACGAATCCTCGAGTACTCTTCACGGTAGAGAATCTAATTTCCCAGCGTCTCCTTACCGATACCGAACACCCTGTCGACCCGCTTCCGAGCACGCGATCCGCTGCATCAGCGTTACGGAGTCACGTATCGATGCGCGAACGTCTGCCGAGGATCGCTTCTTCTACCGTCAAAGCGTAACGTTCTCTCGTTCTATGCAGGCTCTTTCGTGGTTCGTACCGATCGACGATGTATCGCTAGGAGATCCGCGCGAGTACGTTCGGGAAATTCGTCGCGCCCCGGGTACCTTCTATGCTCCGCGATAGACTTTATAGGAAAGAAAAAGGCATCGATCCGCAATTTATTTATTCCGGTTCTCGACATCGGCACATTTTCTAATCCGTTCGCGGACAACGACGATCGTCGCCGCCGCTGCTTTCATAGAACCGACGAGCATCGAGTGTCCAGCCTGCTACGATAGAACGAACGAGACCGCGCGACCACCCGTCCTCCCATTTCCGCTTTCCGTCGCGCGTGCTCAAGGTTGTAATTTCGCCATCGACGTCGATCGATTATCGCTTTTATCGTCCGGTCGGTAATGGAGGCTCGCGACACGGGTTCTCGCGGGCGACGAACGCGCTTGTACTTTCACGCCCAGCCATGCTTCCGGAAACGATCGGGGAAAACCACCGATTCGCCATAAATTCTGCGGGCCGCGGTAGAGGGGTTCGGGCTGCGGCCGAGCATGCGGCATGCGGTATGCGGCATTAGCATACGACGCACGACGTGTCGGACACCTGGAAAGAGGTCCCCGTTATCGCGCAACAATGAGCCGCGGT